TGAATATAATTTTGGCATGGGAGTTGGGTTGGAGGGAGAGATGGTTTATGGTGATTAAATGCGGTTGAAAAAATTGAGGAAGAGCCAGCAGTCTAGTTGTGTTATAATATGGTAAAAAGAAGAGTGAAATAAGGATGGACAGGAAAATTGAGACCCTATAAGCAAAGATTTTAAAAGCCAGGTTAAGGAGTTTGTTTAGACAATGAAAAGTCACTCAAGATTTTTGAGCCAGTAAGTGACTTTTGTATTAGAAAGATAATTTTGGCAGCTATGTAAAGGATTAATTGGAGAGGGGAAAGACTGCAGACAAAGTCAGTTAGGCAGATCAGAGAGGCCCAAATTGGAACCATAGCTATTCAAGTGAAGAAAAAGGGAGGGATGTGACCAATAATCCCAAAACAGAACCAGCAGGTCTTGAGAAAAGTTTGAAAGGTAGAAGATAAGGAAAAAGAAGATTTATATCTTCTTAAATACACGTCTGTCTTAGACCCAAAGGAATATTTAAATAGTTGGCCTAAGATGCTGGCTATTTGGCTGCTACTTCATAGATTCATAAAAATTGCTATATTAGACGGAATCTAAGAGGTCATCTAGTTCACCCAACTTATGACTCCCCAAACAAATGATATTCTAGCTTCTCCTTGAACCTATAATGGTAATAGAAAACTCACCAACCAACCAGAACAAACTATTCTATTATTTGAATTCTAATTGTTATGAAGTTTTTACTCATGTTGATCCAAAATCTGTCTCCCACCATTTAACTCCCACCATTTTAATAGTTTATATTTGGGAACAAAGTAGAAAAAGTGCAATCCATTTTACAGATTCAATAAGTATCTGCTATGTACATGGAACTTTGTTAAGCCCTCAGGCTACAAAACAAAGCAAAGAAACATACCTTACCCTAATGACTCCCCCACAGAGTGATATTGCAGTCTTTCACTGAAGCCTTCCTCTAGTAAGAGAAAAATCACTACTAACTAGATCAAACCATTCCATTACTAGATAGTTTTAATTGTCTAATAGGTAGGTATCTTCTAGGTTCCTTCATTTCCTGGCTAAAGCCATCCGCTAATCTATCAACTGATATTCATTCAACACTTTTAGCTCCCTCTATACACATCCAAGCTGGTCAATGTCTCTCCTGATAATATAGTGACCAAGAATCAAGCAGAGTATTTCAGAGGTAGTCTGATCAGAGCAGAATGCATCCAAAATGTTGCTTACCTTGTTTTGGACAGTATACTCCTATTAATTCAGCTGAAGAGGATATTTTTTAAGGGGTTGACTCATTTACATTTCCTTTGAGGTTCTCTAAGATGATTATTGAACATTGACCAGAGATTTTATTTTGATATTTTGTGGGAAATTCAACCTATAAAAATCATTTGATAACATCATCTTATCTAGCAGCCACCAGAGAAACAAATATTTTCTATCAGAAAAATACTTCACAAAAGTCATGCTTTACACACTCCTTTGGCTACCAAGTGGTAAATTTGTGAATTACTTAATCATTAAGTAACAGAAAATTTATTTGTTTTTATAGTACCAAAAACCTACATCTAAGCTAAAAATTAATCACAATAACATCACTAATTACAATAAAGGTGACAATTTATTAAGACTTACTAGTTTTTTTCTTGGTGAATTTTGAACCTGCAAGTTTTAAAAATATTTCTATTGTTACCATTTTTAAAAACATCACCTCATCTTCCAGTTTGTTCATATCTCCTCCTCCACTCTTTGTTTATTCCTTTTAAACAAAGAATATGGAAAGAAGAAAAAAAAAACAGTCTAGCACTTAACAACATCTGACACTATAGCTGTTTTCCACAGTCAAAGATACCCACTTCTACAAAGAAGGGATATATAAATATACATACATACATACACACATATATATGTAATTATCATGGGGTTTCTGGGTCAAAAGCAGCACACATAATTTTTTAAAAAATCATGTTAAAGGAAAAGATAATTAAATTATTAGAGGGACACATTTATTTCTATAGAATAAACAACATTTTGAAATTGCTTTTTGTCATTAAAAGTATTTATAAAATCTTCTACTGCATTCAGCTGGCTTGCTTCCCAGAAAGGATCACTCTAGATACCTTGCCAAATATCACATAGGATATTGACACCACAGAGGCCAAATTGCTATGTATGGTAGCATAGTGTATATTTGTGAGTGCTTTCTGAAACAGTTAACATTAGTGAATAAATTCACGGCTGTATGGGAGAGCACTAGCAGATTCACATAAAGAAAATGCATTTTTATTACTAATTATTCTGACAACCTAATTCTTGCTTGCATATATTGTGAAGCTGCCAGTTGCTAGTTGGACTATTAATGGAATAGAATTAAGGTCTGATGTTATTTCCCTTTAGTTAAGCCTGTATCTGGTTTATGAAGGGATGCTGGCTGGTTGGTACTGAGCTGTCTACATTGGGTAGATGCCTGTATTCTCCCTTATACCAAGGGTGAATATCATTCACTGGCCTCCAGGACATGCATAGCTTCTGGGTGAAAGAATTGCCTCTTCTGTGTGTGCACAAGTCCAGATAGCATTGACCTTTGCAGGTGGGGAAATGGCATACTGAATTTTGGCCCAGAATAACCTGTGGAATGTGGGTAATAAATATCCCCCTCATTATTATGTGTGTATTATGGGTACATTCTTTTTATGTACCTGAAAGTAATTCTATATAATAATTCTATAATAAATTGTAATAGTGATACATAATGTAAAGAATTCTAGATTTTAAATCAGGATAAATTTGTGTCTTTGACCTGTACTATCTAGATAACCCTGGGAAAGTCATTTAATTTCTAAGAATCTCCATTTTCTTATCTGTAAAATGGGAATAATATTTGCACTACCTTCCACACAGTTTTGTGAAGAAAGCCCTTTTAATATCTTATAGTGCTATATAAATGTAAGCTATCTTCATCATAATTATAGTAATCATTGTTGGAATAAGCCTATAAGGAGGCAATGAGAGAAAACTACACAGCAGCCTGATTACTCTGGATCTGAGATTTACCTGAATATAAGATTTCCCTAAAACCTTGGGTGTTGGTGGCAGAAGTAACTAATTAAAGCTAGCATTTACATAGCACTTTAAAGCTTGAAAAACTCCTTACAAGTGTTATCTCAGATGGATCCTCACAACAACCCTCTGATGTAGGTGATTTTTCATGTCCATTTTCTGGATGAGGAAACTGAGGAAGAGGGAGGATAAATGACTTCCTGAGGGTCATACAGATATTGCGGATATTGTGTTTGCAGTAGGATTCAAACTCAGGTGTACTTGATTCTAAGTCCAGCCCTTCATTCATCCTTTTGCTTGACTGCCTGTGCATAGCAGCCAAAGCCAGGACTTGTTGGAATAACACTGATTTGCACTTAAGGAAGGAAAGTGCTATCTTCCCACTGACCCTAGTACACATCCAGTTGAGCTCATTGAAGAACAGCATGGTGTGGTGTTTAAAAAGTTCAAGAGACAATTTCTGGATAATTAATAATTTTTATTAATAATGCTAGCATTTTATTAATAAAAGGAATAGTCACTTGGCCATCTCTCTCTTGGGCCAGAGATGACTCATGGTGGTGGGCTAATAGTTTATATGTCCTTGGAAGGTTGGTTGTTCCTGAGGGTGGCAATCAACTCTGATTGGTTAACAATTAATGAGAGTGTATATTACAATGAGAGATGGACCCACTCCAATGCTGTGCTGGGGGAATGGAACTTTGACTATATCATTTACTTCTAAATTGCCCAGTTTGGGGCAATCTAATTAAAGAATATGTCCCCACCCAAACCTGAGTAGAACCCAATGGGCAGGAATTCACCTAGATAAGATGGTCTAGGTGGGATAAATTTTTGGCAGAGGTCAGTAACGTCCTTCAAAGACAGGACTTTGAACAAGGAAATAGGACAGGGAAAAAACCTAGATCTCCCCCAACAGTTGGTTATTAATAATAATTTCTCTCAATGGTATTGTACTAGGGGATAGGGATGGAGATAGGGATTAGAGATAGAGATGGAGATTAAACCTAGATTTTCATTGATGTAGGGAATTCCCAGGTGAGGAAACTCCTTCTACCAATGTAGGTCATCACTTCTGCAACTTATAATCTTGAGAGTTGAACAAAATACTGAGAAGTTAAATCACTTTACCAGCAGCACTCTGCCGGTATGGGTCAGAGGTAGGGCTTGAACTTAGATCTTCCTATTCTAGAAATAACCATAATTGTAATAATTTGAATTTTTATGTGTCTGTGTGTATATATATATATATATACATAGTGTTTGTCTCCAAGGAGCTTAAAGAGTTTTATAATGTTTGCTTTTGAGATAGGCAGAAATATTATGGTACATCGTGCAGATCCACAAATAGAACTCCAGCTTTCTGATTTCCAGTCCAGTAGAATGATACTTTCTCCAGACCTGCGTTTCATGAATTTTAAGCAACCCTGGGTACAAAGTCTCCTTCAACCAATGATGCACATCTGTAATTTATAGTTTTAGAGGGTCACTTGTGGGGTACTGAGGTATGACTTCTCTGTGGTCACACAGAGCTAGTGCATGTCAGAGGCAGAACACAAACCAGACTTCAGTCAGTCTTCTATCCACCACATGCTGGGTGCAAATTTTTGTGCAAATTACCATTCTCAAATTAAAATCTAAAGGATGACTCAAATTCTGTATTACAGCTCTGTTGTTAGGATGTTTATGTTTATACTTCAAGCATATTCATAGTGTCTAGGCACATGGCTAAGAACACAACAGTAACAGTTTCAATGAGGTTGTGTACATTTAAATTTATATTTTGCTATGAAAGTCTTAACTGTGGGAATAAAATTATGCTCTTAAGTATTCTTAGTGGATAGAAACATTTTTGCATAAAATCAATGGTATAATTATATGTTTATTTCAGTGTTTACAATATTTTAAAACAATTAAAATAGCATATATTTCCTTTGTAGAAATACTTCCAAGGGATTTGAACTTAAAGGAGAAGTTCATAAAGCATTTTACAGGTAACAACTTTGTTTCTTGATAAGATTTCAATATGTCATGACTAAGAAAGCAAAAAGTAATATAGTTTAGGTATTTAATTGTCATATATCACACATCACATATCAGATATCAATTGGGAAAAATAATGGTAAAGCTCTTGTTTTTTCTATCATGTCAGACTTCTCATAGAATCAAAAATTTGGAGCCAAAAAGAATTTTAGAGGTTTTTGAGTCTAGACCTCTTATTTTTAAATAAAAAGTCTGAGACTCAGAGAGGAAGGACACACAAATAATAGTGACTGAGGTGGGATTTGAATGCAGTTCTTCCAGATTCCAAGACCAGAATTCTATTCACTATGCTCTGATTTAAACCTTAAATGAGAATATAATTGACATGAGAGTTGTCCTTAGAGAACAAGTGGTTTGGGTTAGCAAGAGGGATGTAAGTTAGATCAAGACTTCTCTGACAAAATTAAAAACTGTAATGCTTTGTCAATGCACTAAATCAGTTGCAGATTCAAATGTGTTATCTCCTTTTGAGTTCGTTTTAAAGAAAAAACATAAATTGCCATTTGATGATAGGTTTGGATGTGGCCTTTATTGAAAGTAAAGTATTTGAAAATCACTCAAGTAATTCTCAAATTTTTGGTCTCAGGACCTATTATCACTCTTAAAAGTTATTGAGGACCTCTCAAAGAACTTTTGTTTATGGGGGTCTATATCTATCAACATTTATTATATTAGAAATTTGAACATCTTAGTATTGTTATGAAAATGATTTTGACTTCATAGACTCCCTGGAAGACTTTCACTCTTTGAGAACTGTTCATCTAGAGGCACCTTAAGGTTTCTTGCTGCTTTATTATTTTTTAATATGAAAGCCTAAGAGAACATAAATGACTAGCTTTAGACAATATAACTCTCCTCTATAAACAGGAATTCCCAAAGAAGCAAACATAAAGAAAATAAAGACCCAATAGGTCCAATTCTGTTTGGGACCCAGTACTACCATAAGTCTAATGCTTGTCTTTCTAAAATATACTAAAAAAGGAGGGGGCAGCTAGGTGGCACAGAGGATAGAGCACTGATCCTGGATTCAGGAGGACTTGAGTTCAAATCTGGCCTCAGATACATAACACTTACTAGCTGTTTGACCTTGGGCAAGTCACTTAACCCCATTGCCTAGCCAAAGAAAATTAAAAAAAATATATTAAAAAGTCCCCCCTAGAAATAAATAGAGGCTCCATTATGTGAACTGTGGATAATGGACAGCAAAGTTAGAATATTTTTTTTTTATATTTATGATAAGCCTGATTTGCTTCTTCCCACAATGGAAGGATAAGGATATGGGAGAATGGTCAAGTTCTTTTAAGGGAATACAAGGTTGTGAACTATGCAGCCACACTATCCCTGTCAATAAAGTACTAGCAAAGTAGTTTGGATAATGGCTTTCTGTTTATAATAAACATTCTTTTACTGTTAAATAGGACCAGTCACATTTTCAGCTGAGTGTAACAAACACTTCCATCGACTGTATCACAATACTAGGGATTGCACTATACCAGCTTGTAAGTAAGACTGAAAGTACTTTTTTTCTTTAAATGTAATCTTTCTCCAATAAATGCACATGATCTTTAACCACATGCTCCTGACACTTGGAAGGCAATAGACTAAACACGGTGTGATATTATTTATACAACTGACGCGATTTGAGGGCTGAATCCTATTGTAAATACATTGAGTGGTACCAGTTTCTAAATGGGAATATATCCAAATCTTAAAAAGCCAGATTCCATCGAGACCCAAATGGATTGTTATCATCTTTCAAAAATATCTGGCAGGAAAATATTTTCCATCCATGTGGAGATAAAATGTCGTCTGAATTATAAGTTAGAAATTCCTCACAAGATAATAATTGAAAAATAAAAAGAAGTGTCTTTGTAGATCCTAGTATAAAACCATACATCTCCTGGACAATTAAGTCTTATTTTTAAAAAATTATTGAACATGTTCCTCTGGAAATCTAAGTTTTAGAAAGTAATGCTATTTTCAGATATAACATTAAAATGATATAATTTAAAATACAAGTCTCCTCCATCTTCCTACATATAATAGTCTCCAATAAGCATATATTCTGATGAAAATAAAACCAGTGAATAAAAAAGAATGACCACATATATTTGTGTGGATTAGCCTATTACTAAGTCCTAGCTGACAGAAGTATATGACCACTGATTGACCAGCCTGTGTACTAGAAAGTTACTATGTACCCAATAACTGGTTTAGTCAGCTTCATTTAGGCAAGGAATATAAGACTTTCCTAATAATAACCAGTTCAACAAACTTTAATCCAGATATCCACAGATAGCACTTTCCTAGTCACAATGGACTAATGGTCAATAAAGGGGTTTACCATCTGGGGCACCCAATGAATGACTTATCTCTCCAACTTGGTCCCTGTGCATCTGCCCAGCAGCAACAGTCAGATATAAGAGCAGAAACTCAGAGATCTGTACTCTCAGTTGGGTTAGTCATCTCACCGTAAGCCTACACCACTATTCACACTTGCCTGTGTGACTAAGAGCTGGATGCTGCCTGACTTGTGATGCTTGAGTGCTTTTGTTACTTCTCAGTACCTTACCCACAAACTTCCTGCAATATTCAATTGATTTTTTGATCCCACTTTATGATTTATATCAAGGTTCTCATAGATTTCAAGATATCATAGATAGCAAGATTTCTCATAGATTGCTTAAGGAATTTGTCATGTTTTCTCTTTACTGTACAAAAGAGTCCTTTGGAGTCTTCTATAAAAAAAAAGGATTCATTGTGTGTGTTGCAAAGCCTATGGAGTAGAGTTAGATGATTTTTAGTGCTCTCCAACTGTAACTATTATGTTATATTATATCATACATAGGCAAGAACTGATTCAGCATTACTTTCTATGAAAAAATGCTTATGGATTTTAGTTGACCAAATTCCATAAGAAAAAAAAACTGTGGGATCACTCTCAGGCAGGGGGTAGAGAGATGTATGGATAATATTAAAATACATTATATAAGTAAAATCTGCTTTCAAACCTTTAAAATATTTCAACAAAATATGGGAACAGCGTGATGAAACACCCAAAAAATTCAAGGATCTCATATAGTGTTAATAGAAGTACAGTGCCTAGAACATAGGAAGTAATGGTCCCAACTCTACTTAGTTTCAATCAGATCAGATACAAATTACTGTGGTCATTTCTTTAAGAGGGACATTAAAAAACCAGAATATAACCAAAGGAAGATTTTGAGGAGGCTTAAAAATCATGTGAAGAATAATGGAAGGAAACAGAAATATTGAGCGTAAAGATGAGAAGGCTTAGACATAGTTATGTTAGCAGTGTTCATATGTCTAGATGACTGTCATATGGAAGACAGATTAAATTTAATCCATATAGCTCCATAGGGATGAACTAGGACAATTGGATGGGAGCTATAGCAAGGTATATTTTGGCTTGATATAAGGAAAATTGTCTTAACAATAGAACTGTCCATAAATGAGAAGGACTGCCTTGTGAAGTAATGAACTTCCTTTTTCTCCAAAGTTTCAAGCATAGGTTGAATGACTACTATTAGGGATATTGTTGAGGAAATTTCTGTATGAGGTGGCAGCTGGAGTAGATGACCATGAAATTATTGAATTTACTAGTATCTAATATAACAGGTTTTTTTTAAGAAGTCTCAGAGTTTTCTTTTCTGAATTTATAACCTTGTGTTTAAGAAAATAAAATATTGTCTTAAGGAAAAACTGTTAACAAAACTAAGCCAGCTTTAGAATAGCTTATTAGATCTAGAGATGAGGAAAATTACCTTAAAACCAAAGCAGAATTACTTAACTAAGCAAGCACTTGATGAGTGCCAACTACATGTGAAGCAAATATTCATTGCAATTGGGGGAAACAAAAGAAATAAAAAATAAACTCTATGCCTTTGAAGATTTGTTTCATTTAGTTACATATGATGATATAACCATTATGCACAATGATAAATGATAACTTAAGCAAACAACTACTGTTGAGTTTCCTAGTTGTATAGTATCTCAAATGAAACATTTTCTACTCATTTTTTATAGATTACAAAAGATGTGCAAGACTGCTAACAAGGTTAGCAGTGAGCCCGCTGTGTACACAGCCTTAGAAAATGTAACATGTAAGTATGTACCTATTTTTGTATCATCCTTATGCTGCATATCCTGGCTTTATTATCAGGATGTGACTAATATAGTCGCATGAAGCTAATTAATCCAACACGTAGTTTTCGTGTAACTAAATGTTCTCATTCTATTGCCTATACCAGGAAGAACTAAGAGCTAAAGCAAATTGTCATTTTTCAGTAATAGAAAATTTATTTACCTGTAATGAATTAAGTGGTATATGCCATTATTGTCATATGCCAATATTGATATTTGATATTGGTCATTTATATGACCAAGTCATATAAAACAGGTAACACCTTTGTTTTTCAAGAAATTATGAATGAGGGGTAGCTAGGTGGTGCAATGGATAGAACACCAGCCCTGGAGTCAGGAAGACCTGAATTCAGATCCAACCTCAGACGCTTACTAGCTGTGTGACCTTGGGCAAGTCACTTAACCCCAATTGCCTCACCAAAAGAAAGAAAAAGAAAAAAGGATAAACTATTAATGACATACAAACTCCTGAATAATACGTAAGTTTTTGACATATTTTACTTTTTAACCTCAAACCATATTTTCAACTGTACATATATATTATGTGTATGTATATGTATGTATATTTATATGTCAGCCTTCTCTGCTTGTACCCTTGTAGTGAAGCCAACAAATATCAATATATCCATTGACTTTACTTGCATGATTTTGTCAAGCTCTTCCTAGAATTTTTCTACCTCTTCATCCTCTGCAACAGACAACAGTTAATAAGGTGTGTGTTCTTCATAGTGATTTTCTTTTTGCATATCTTCATCCTGAGCATGACAAGGTGAAATGACTACAGGTCAAGCAAAGATATTTTTGTTGCCTTTAGGGACACAGTGAAATTAACTCTGCCAACACCTTTATTTAGCTCTCCAAGGAGGCCATACTTCTATTAAGCTGCAGCTTCCTTATATCTTTTTGTTTCATTCATAGCAAGAACCTCTCATATCTGTTCTCTTCTCTCCACTCACATAGCCACCTCATAGTTTAGGTCCTTGTTCTCTTTGCCTGGTGTATATGTATATGTATATGTATATGTATATGTATATGTATATGTAT